TACCACCCCCAGGGGGAAGTAACATTGTTGGAGGAAGGAGGGGTGGAGCTCCCCCGGTGATCACAGAGCAATATCTAGCAGGTCTAACCCAACGCTTAAAAGTTGCCATACACAAGCGGCAACGCTTCAACGCTGAATGGCAAGCTCTTGTCCAGTTTGCCTCTGACTGCCAGGAGATGCTCGACTCTGCACGGACCAAGCGCTTGACCTTCACGAAACACTTCGCATCTCCGACAATGTTTGACAAAATCTCCATACTTAATCCTTACACAAGACACATCTTCCACTACCACATTCTGCCGCAGGTCCACCGTATTCTCTCTGTTTTTCTTTCGCTTGCCTCAGCCTGTATAATCTGGTCTGAGATCACCCACGCCACAGCCCCAAAGCTCTCAGTAATCAATTATACCGTAGTTCATCATCCCGAATCTCCTCACGGAAAGGTTGGTTTTGCTGGACAATGTATCGCCGCAGCATGGATCGCTTATATGTGTGCATGCGCATACTCCTCCCTTACTACGGTTAAGGTCTGGGGAAACTATGCACTTGTTAAGCGAATGACATCAGGCTCATCTGCGTGTTTCTATGCCTCCTACGCCGCCCGGCTCACCGTGCCGTTAGCTTATAATTTTACGGGATTACTGCTCCCAGCCGTGGCGAAGGACACTGTCTTTTTTGGTTTTCTGGGGAAGCTCATTAACCTCATACCACTTGGAGAGGGATTTGATGGTTTTTTCCCGGTGCTGATTCTACTGCCAGTTGCAGCCACAGGATTCAATGTGTACGGTTGGATCAAGACCACATTTGGCCTTGGAGATGTCTTGGCAGACGACGAAGATGATGAGGATGGTCTTGGAGGGTGGAGGGAAGGGCGAGATTTGATAGATCGGGAGCTCCAGGGCGAGGTTGGGAGGGGCGGGACAATCGCACGGGTAGCTGCCGCCAGCAGACTGGGCGGCAGAGCAGGAGGGTCAAGTTCAGGCCTTGGACCAGAGGCTCAGCGCACAGGCCGAACAGGCCCCATTAGATTGGGAGACGATGATGGGGATGATTTGGATACTGTACCCGAGGAAGGATTTTTCAGGGGTTTTATGCATAGAGTTAAGAACACTGTCGAGACACTGGATGCACCACAGTGGATGAAGGACTTTGATGGCGTTAAGAAGCCGAAGTGGCTCGGCGGCAATGCAGGGAGTAGTAGGGGTGGTTATGGTAGTGCTATCAGAGGAAGGGGTGGCGCGAGTAGACCAAGGTGGAGTGCGGGTGGTTGGGACGACGAGAGCGATGGGTTGTTAGGTGGGGAATAAACTTGCATTTCGATCATTGACAGGGAGTTTTTATCACTGTTTCCACTCGTTTTGTGGGTTATTTCTTTCTTGTTAAGGGCATTGGCTAGAAATTTGGTTGGTTTGCACACATTTTAGAGGTCTTCTCGGTCTTCTTTTGTTATAATCATCATTGATAGATATTATATTGTCAGGTTTCAGGCGGCAATATTACTTGACAGTAAAGCATATTATGGAGATGTGAGATGGGTTAGCGTGAGATTACACACGGCGGGATGCTTCCAAAACTTTATATATTTAAGAAGCGATGGGCACATTGTGGCAGAATTATCAGGGCTTTAAATTTTAGCTGCCTTCAGAATGTCTTGCGATGCTCTTGTTCCAGCAATATTTGGAAGATAGGTAAGGCGCCTGAAACCTGAAGCCCTGACGATTTTTTACTTGGAGCGATTAATTTTTGAACAGGAGGCCGGATTTACTGTTCAGGTTGTTCAATTACTCCAAAAACACCATCCCAAGGTCCAGCCCAAACCAGAAACAGAAACCCCCCAAATATCACCCGGGAACTACAATCACAAGTAAGCAGAACGTGATTCGTTAGGACCCCAATCCATTAAATTGATGGTTGCCCCATATGCCACTTTTGATTTTTTTGCTTGTACATTTAAAGCCCGGAAAGGAAAAAAAGAGGAAAACTGAAACAATTGTATTTCGTTTAGTGACCAGCTCTCCTGGACTCGGCGATAACGCGCTGGAGTTCGTCGACCTTTCTCTTGGCACGGCCGAAGGTTCCGAGCTATATGAGAATAAAAATGTCAGCCAAACCAGATACTGAATAGTAGCAGGAGGTTTTCGAGACGTACTCTCTTCTTCGCGAGCTTACGGGCACGCTTGTCCTTGGAGTTGCGGAGCAACTCAATAACACGCTTCTCGTATGGGGCAAGTCTGTTGAAGCACACGAGCAGTTAGCTATGCCCCATTTCGGATCCCAGAATAACCCGATCTTATTGTAATCTTAATTGAGAGGTGTATGTACCCAGCAACTTCCTTCACGACCTCACGGACGAAAGCGGTGCGCTTGGAAAGAACACCCTTTCTGCGGGAAGCACGGGGCTTGGACTCACGGAGAGTGACTCCGCTGTATCCCTTGTTGATGCCGTAGGCGAGACCTTTTCACAATTCCACCACTCGAGTCAGCATATCTGTTTTGTTTGACCGGCCGTAGGGTTGGGCGGTAGGATTGATAGCCGTACCTGACTTAGCTACTGCCATGGTTAGTTGTTCGATGGATGGGTTATCGAAATCGTCAAGTATACGTAGGGAGAGAGGGGGGTGAATTGATTTTGTTGGAGTTGAGAAAGCGTCCTGCAGTGTGCGGAGTTGCGCCAAGACGTTCCACCCTACACAAATTCATTGTGGGAGAAAAAAGTGACGGGCTAGAGAATCAGGGTTCGTGCCCTGACTACAACAGGGCCCCACCCACACAGTCAACACAAGGGGGGAAATTCCGAAATGTTTCTTTCCTTTCGTCAAGGAACTCTTCGAGGACGGTTAAAGACATATCCCCCATCTCTCTTTCTTTCTAGAGTCCATTAAACAAAAATCATCATGGTGAGTTGCCTATATTTATTTCCCTACGAAATGACAAATATTGGCCAATTTTGCTAACTTTCATCCCATCTAGTCTGACGCAGGAGAAGAAGTAATACCTTGAATTATCTTGATAGATTATCCCGAATCCCGTGTCTAACAGCTCCCACCGAATAGTTCCCTCAAGTCGAGGCCGCCGAGGAAATTGAAGTTCCCGCCGATGCCTCCGCCGGCAAAGGCCAGATGTCTGTCGAGGACTCCCTCAAGGGTGTTCTCAAGCACGCCCTCATCCACGATGGTCTTGCCCGTGGTCTCCGTGAGGCCTCCAAGGCCCTCGACCGTCGCCAGGCCCACATGTGTGTCTTGAACGAGAACTGCGAGGAGGAGCCATACAAGAAGCTTGTTGAGGCTCTCTGTGCCGAGCACAAGATCCCCCTCATCAAGGTCGCTGATGGAAAGAAGCTCGGAGAGTGGGCTGGACTTTGTGGGTTTTCCCGTCATAAAAATTTGTTTGTTTCTTTAGAATCTCGGGCTAATTCTGATGATAGGCGTCCTTGACCGTGAGGGTAACGCCCGCAAGGTTGTTAACTGCTCTTGCGTTGTTGTCCGCGACTGGGGTGAAGAGTCCACGGAGCGCAACAACCTCCTTGAGTACTTCCAGACCAGGTAAACAACAAAAAACGGGGTATTTCTTTTTACCAACGGGCTTGGATTGATGGGCGTTAGGATCATTTTTTTAAATGTAACTAACTATCATTAAAAATACATCTGGGAAGGGCGTATGAAAAAAAAAAATGATTTTTTTTAAATTATTTAATTGCATTTTCTATGAAATGACTTGTGAAGTATGTTTGATCGTAAAAGCTTGTATATCCCATTATCAACCTGCCAATCAGTAGAGAAAGAGTGATTCATTACGTCATTGAACCTTCATTAGAACCACATGTACTACTATTATTACGGGATTACTGAAGTAATCGGTAACCATCCCCTTACGATTTCTAATCATGCGATATCACTCGATAGATCCAGTTACTAGTGACTGCCCTATCTCATTACAGTAATCAAATCAAGCATATCGTCATCCGGTTCGAGTGATGTTAAACTGATAACGTGTTATGTAAATATGAAGTTTCCAGCCTCCTCTCTATGTAGCTCACACATAATACTCCATAGAGACATACATCCAGTTGGCCTCATAATCTTAAGCACCGTTGGGTGCCTACATGTACCTATCTTCAACCGGGAATGTTTCAGCAAGCTACGAAGGCAATTTCACGCTCAAACCTTTTCATACGATAGACTTGTGATAAAATTTAGTTTTGGGTTGTAGAAATTATTAATGCTAAGGGTACATGTAAACATTATACCTTCATCTTTTATTGGTTCGATACATGTGCTATTAGAAGTGTTCTCAAACCATGAGAAACATTCCTGAATGTATTCCTAATGATCTAGCGGATACTTGAAATACACAAGAGTAGGTATAAACGTCTTAAGTCCAGTGAAGTCAGCAAATATATCACCAAGCAACAGGCATAACGTCCCCGATAAGGTCCTAGGGTGAGACTATATAGCGAATCAAATTTCGAGGGGATCATGGTACCTTTTATGTTTTGTTATTTGATAAATGTTTGTACATATATAGCTAGTTGATAATTGCTTTTGTGGAGCCTCAGGGGGTTTCAGGGGAACTACAAGGCCTAGGAACACATCGAGTGAACGAGTTAGTGGAAGACCGGCCATCAGAAACTGTATTCTTTGGAACGTATCAATTCAGTACCACGTAGCTTAATAGCTCCATAGCTCCGTTTTTCAATTTTCCCGATATACATGCTCGATCAATTATCTAGTTTTATATGAAACGCCCATCGAAGGTCACGGCTTCTAGAGCATGCATCTACAGTTCAATGAATCAATCAACCAACCAACCAACCAACCCTAGCTTCTGGTAGACGTCTAATTATAAGCCAGCCGAGTGGTGGTTCTTGATGCGTATATCTCTACCATAGTACGTGAAGAGAGAAAAGCACCCAAAGCTTAAAATTTAAGGTAACCACCTATACGCAATGTTTCAATTAAAAAGCTTATATTGAACTCAAAAGTCAATTTGTTAACTCAGCAATGACCTCACATGCTAATGCTGACAAAAAGACACTCTATTCTAATCTATCGATAAGCGTTGTCTCTTCCAACTCCATGTAATCTCCCTATCAGCATACTGAGCATCAGCGGACGATCAGGGTATCATCATCATCATAATATCCTCGCCTCAACGTCCATCTGCAGCCCGGGTAAAAACCCCCAAACCAACCCCGCACTTTCCGGGATATGAGGATGGGTGGGTGCAGTGATAGCGGGGCACTGATCACGGCCGATAAGATGATAAGGTTGGCTATAGTAGCCAAAGTCGGAAGCATCCCAATAACCCGTTTCAAATCTCTTAGATGGAGAATAGCATTATCACATGCTGACACAGTGCCGAACCAGGTTTGGACCTGGTTGGAGGAGCTGTTTGGAGGCATATTTTTGGGGTTTATAGCCTGCCCCAGGTTTAAGTTCATGGAAAGTTTGTTTGCTCCCCTGGTATCACGCATAGAAGACTAATTTTAAGTTGAGGGGTTTGCTCTTGGGTCTCAATTCAGGTCTATCTCTTTGTTTTTTGCACCGCGTGGACGACGGCTAATCCATTGACTATAGAAACAAATCAATAAGTTTGGTATCTGTCCTCAGAAGCGTAGGCTTCAGGACCCGAGAAGGCATCGAGCTGTGCGGTGTGTTTCGATAAGTAACTCTTGGAGGCTGTCACGCCCACAGGGCCGGATTAGTTTATGCAAGGGATCGTGGGGGCCAACATTATACCAACCAACCGACCCTATTACCTCTTAAAATAGCGATAAATATTTTCATAACAGGGCAGAACAATACCTACACTGCGTTTACGCCGCAGTATGGTGACATTATACCGGAGACTGAGTGGACTATTCCCATTGTTGCAGACTCAAGGATTAGAAAGCAGCATCTGAGAAGAGACACCGCAGTTTAACGGCGTTACTGCGATATTGGACCAAACGGGGGTAGCAATCCCAACCACGTTTTTGGTACTGTATATAGTCGTTGCAGGGTTTCAACTACAAGGTTTGACTACATACAGTACGCAAAAACAAGGCGAAATTACTACAATACAGTAGAGTAGTACTACTGCATCACCGGATTAAAGCCGTATTTAAGAGGATTTTCTGTAATGCTCCCGCGCTATTGCACTATTCGGGAAATACGGTAGCAAACACAACCGCCTTTATATGTATGTTCATGTACATACCAGCAGGAAACATATCACTCATCGCTCACATGTACACCATTAAGTACATCTCAACAAACATTTTTCGCATCCGGAATCATCCAATCTTTTGAAACCAACCAGCACGAGGAATTCTTCGGTGACAGTTCTATGTTCTCCAACTGCCGGATATTAATCACTTGAAGAGTTTATGCACGATGATGCTGGCAGGTAAGAAGTTTAGAGTGGGCGAAAGCATCAGACCAACTTTAGTGTCTAGGCCAGTGTAGATGGATTCAAGCTTTCTCTGTCCTATCAAAAGCATGTTCCTGGGGGAGGGGCAATAAAAGAGGGGTAAAAAGTGACGTTTTAGCGCCCTGAAAATGGATTTGAGTTCCAGAAGGAAGAGGGCTGTGAAAAGGGAAAAAAAATAGCTTGGTAGGTACTCCTCTACTAGAAATTTTTTCAGATTCAGTAGGTGAGGTGAGGTTAGATATGTGCTCAAAGTGACTTGACCAATGGCGTTACGGGTGCATGTGTCCACACATAAGCTTAGTACCGAGATCTTGCGCGGCGGGCACGATCCCCGATGTCTTTCACATAAGCCCCTCCTCACTGACTCCACGCGGACTTTGTTGATAGGTACCATAGGAGACAAAATCAGATAGAAATTTGGGAGCATGTTCCTATGGGTTTAAGCCATGGTGTTAGCAGTGCGTGTGCTGTCAATATTAGATGCTGTTCACCACCGTTAAAGGTGTGACGTCGGTTTCCGGTGGATGTTGTAGCTGAGATTTTGGTTATCGCCCTGAAACGTCGCGGGGGTTACCCTGCGAACATCTCCTATCCCTGACGGGCCTGGCTGTGGTTGTTGCTGGTTGGACGGATGGGATAATCTAGAAATGACATGAATCTTAGTAGGTACATGTAGGTACTTTACGCACGCAGGTGACTTTTCAGTAGCGCCGCCTTGAAGTTGGGCCTTGCATTTAGCTCTAACTAGAGTAACAGAGATGTGTGTGGGTGGCACACGATTTGGATTCCGGCAGGGGATGGTGCTCCCGCGGCTGTGACAAATACAGTAAGGGAACGACACCCGCGACACTCTCTCTATCTATCACAGAAATGAAAAGTTGGTTGCTCCCTGGAGTGTAGATATCGCCCATCGCTTTCTTGCTTAAAAATAAATCCTCAGAGCCTCTGAGGCGCTTGTGTCGAGCACCGAGCGCTTCCTTCCGGAGTTGCCCTTGGTTGTGTGCAGTGACAGTAGATAGTGCCCCTTCCATGCGTCCTTCTAGGTACTCAAGCAATGTACATGTAGGTACTACATGTGCCTACTCTACTCTGTTATCCAGCCACCCCGCCCCTTAGTGCCCCCCTTCCCCTTCCCCTTCCCCTTCCCCATTCCAATCTCATCCATCCTTATCCAGTCCTGCTCTTTTGCTCTCTTCTCACTCTCACGAGCTTGTGTTCAGTTGGTCATTCTCGTTGCTACCATCGTCAACATCAACATCACGATCCTCATAGCCATCACCAAACTATACCTATCACGAAGCTAGTATTCGTCGCCGTGCTGCCCGCTCCCCACTGAATCCTGATAGGTACTCGTTGAACTTGGATAGCAAGTACCTACAGTTCACTGATAACATACTGAGCGTGTTACCGTTATTGATATCGACACACACACACCACACACACCCTCTCTTTCTCTCACTCTGCCCGTTGCCCCCTCTCTTGTTCCACATATCCAGTTCTTGCTCTCCACATACTGTAGTTACCTCACTCACCTATCCACATCCCACCACTTGACTCTGTCCTATCTCCTCATCCCCGCCTGTTGCTGCCCGCCCCTCGGTCCTCCTCCTCCTCCTCCTCCTCCTCCTCCGCCGCCTGCTTCTACAACACGTGCTCCAATATTCACCCCACGGTGATGCTTGCGTATGCTTTTTAATCGGGCTCCTAAATTACCCTAGTGCCAGCCAGATTCCAAACGGCCCCACGTCGCCGCCTCTTTAAGCTCCAAGCGCAACCCTAACCCCTGCTGCTTTGATTTCTTCCCCCGCTCCCTCCCACGCTTTATATTATTTACATCACCACCCGTCCCTACGGACACCACAAGCCTCGAGAAGTAATCACCAAGGACTAACATATTCTTCTACCTCTTGCGATCAACTTCCCCCCCTCCCTCTTCTCCCTATTCTCTCCTTTCCTCCCCCTTCTCTCCTGATCTTCTCTCCTCCTCTATCCTCTATCCCGATGGCTCGTTCGCGCCCAGAGCCGGTTATTGTGTCGGCATCTACTAGTTCCAGTAGCAGCAGTAGCCCAGAACACTTTACCTGCAACGACGATGGCAGCAACGACTTCGTTATGGTACCCGACGACAACGTCTCCCTAGCTGCGTTGACTGAATTTCGTAACATGACCGTGTCCCCAACCGACAAGTTAACTGTTACGCACAAACAATTGAGCCATCAAAACATTCAACATGTTTCCTCCACCCCCTCCGCCTACCGATTACCCCCAGAGCTCCTTATCGCCATCTTCTCCAAGGTTTCGTCGGTGGTGGATCTGAGGTCATGCATGCTAGTTTCGAGGCAGTGGGCAAACTGCAGCGTCGAACTGTTGTGGCATCGCCCCTCGTTTGACGAGTTCATCAAGTACCAGAACATGGTAAAGGCTGTTGAAGACGTTAACGCCACTTACAAATACGCGCAGCTGATCAAGCGTCTTAATCTCACCACTATCGCTGGAAAAATCAGTGATGGAAGCATGGAGCCCCTGGTCAAGTGTACAAAGTTGGAACGGCTGACCCTCACCAACTGTTCGCACCTTACCGATTTGCCGCTGCAAAAAATATTCGATAATAATCCTCGGATCCAAGCCCTCGATTTGTCGCAACTCCATAGTATTACCGATAACGCGCTGTTGGCCGTGGCGAAAAACTGCCCACGCCTTCAAGGTCTAAACATTGCTGGGTGTAAGCGTGTGACAGACACATCTCTGATCCCGTTGTCGGAAAGATGTAAATCTTTGCGAAGGGTAAGAAAGTTAGCTTGTAAACTCTTATCGCACCAATGCTAACTTATTTAAGCTTAAACTTAACGAGTGTAACTTCATCACAAACGCTGCAGTAGCCTCACTAGCCGCGCATTGCTCCCAACTTCTAGAAATCGATCTTTACAAATGCCACAATATCACCGATGAAGCTATAGGCCATCTATTCACACAATTGCGCCAGCTGCGAGAACTACGATTAGCTTATTGCGACCTCCTGACCGACGACGCTTTCCTCCAGCTGCCAACGCGGACTTACGATTTTCTACGCATTCTGGATCTCACTGGTTGTGAGCTCCTCACAGACGAGGCAGTTAATAAAATCGTGACAGCTGCGCCCCGCCTGCGCAATCTGGTCCTGGCGAAATGTAGGAATATCACAGATAAAGCCGTGACCCACAGTGTCATCAAGCTTGGGAAGAATCTGCACTATTTGCACCTCGGCCACTGCCAGCATTTGACAGATAGGGCTGTACAGACTTTAGTTCGCTACTGTAATAGGATAAGGTACATCGATCTCGCATGCTGCACGCACCTGACGGATCAGAGTGTGAGCCATCTTGCGGGTCTTCCGAAGTTACGGAGAATTGGATTGGTCAAATGTCAAAATATTACGGATTACTCAATCCAAACATTGTTGAAGGGGAACAAGGATATGCCGTGTCCGTTGGAAAGAGTGCACCTTTCTTACTGCATTAAGCTGACTGTCGATGTGAGTAAACGGAGAGACTCGGTTAATTGGAAACAACCCGGGGATTTATGGCTGACAAATTTGGTTTCAGGGCATTCACGAACTTATCACCAACTGCCAAAGACTAACTCATTTGAGTCTGACTGGAGTGGACGTCTTTTACCGTAGGAAGGACTTCACACAGTTCTGCAGGCCACCACCTGATGAATTCAACGAGCACCAACGGGAAGTCTTGTAAGTAACACTTTACTTTTTATCTCCCCCGAAGTTTTGGGGACTATGGGCCATTAACTAATACTCCTCCTCACAGCTGTGTTTTCAGTGGCAGCGGCGTCGGCAAGCTACGGAACTATCTCAACGCACAAAAAGCACACTCGGAGGGAACACCAAACCTAGATCAGAATTACTACGTGGATGATGAGGACAATCAAGATATGGATGAAGAATTGGAAGAGGTTGATTAACGCATTTCTGAATCTCCTAACGCAAATCCTGGGGGGCAATATTTCACTTTAAGTTTATTTTCGTAAAGGCAATTACCAATATGATTGGAAATGGAATGGTGGGGGCGGCGAAAGGGTCAAAAACCGCTAGCTCGCTGGAAACATTTTCATAATTAATGTGAAAGTAGGGGTTGTGGGTAAAATATGGGCGAAGGTGTTCGGGAGCCTGGATTAGATGTCTGGCTTTTTCATTTCTTCTTTTCTTTATATACTCTTTTTTGTCTCCTTCATAGGGTTCGGGTCATCGTTTTCTTTTTATCATTTTCTTTCCAGCTATTTGGTTTTTTTTTTTTTTTCCTCCTTCCCCCCGCTCTTCACTTTCCTCTAATATTATTTATCTTCCCTTTTTTTGTGAGCGCCCTTAAATAACCATTTTTTTTTTGCTCGGTCTATAGTATCGGTTTTATGTCTATCCGGCTTCTTTGAATGTTTGGATGGCAAGCATCAACTTGGTAGTTCTAAATCTCATATATGAGTGGAGGGAGGGAATGCATCATTATTTATCACTCGCTCCATCATTGACCCAATCAATAATGATGTCATTCATTGGTGAAAAAAAATTCTATGGGTGCGGTTGTTGACAGTTGACTCCTATGTACTAGTACCTCCTGCCCTGCGAGTGCTAGTTGGTGATTAAGGTAATTATCTAGACTTAATTATCTAGACTGAGGTAGGTATGTAGTAGGACCAACACTGACGTGCGTTTCTAGAGTGAGTATTAACAAAAAAAGAAAGTAGACAAATTAAACAAACACCATTATAGTTCGACATAGGCTTTCATCTGATTTCGCCTTCTCATTCTTACTGTATAGATTGCCCTTGGACATGCAAAATAAACACAAAATAAAAGGAAAGAAGAAAATAAGAAGAACCCAGAGTACCGACCAGGATATTTAAAAGATAAAAAAATATGATAAAAAACTATTCCCATCTCTACAACCCATATATATGTAGCCCTTCCATAAATTCCGCCTGGAATGCCTTACAGGCCTCTCTTACAATTCAGAAAATAAACATTCGCTCATTCCGCTTCAAATAATAATAAAAAAAAATCTATGCAGCATTACACTTCATACCTAACTCAATTCAACTCTATATCGTTCAGTATATTTGGTCTGGTATTTCAACCACATTAATCCTTCCTCCCTGGCCCCACAACTGTCTCGACCATCTCCAATCCCGCAAGGCTAGGATAACGCTTCGCGAAGCTTTTCTGCCAGTCCTCGTCCGATAGATTGATACCACCATCTTCGGCAACGCCGCCGTTCGCTACTGTTCTGGGGGGAAGTTGGGGTGCAGTTGTACCCACACTTCCACCACCAGTTCCCGAAACTCGCAATTTATTCGGTTTCGGGGGTGGAGGTGGGCGTGGCGAAGGCTGCCCTGAGCCTGTAGATGCTGATGGTATAATGGTTGGTGGCGCGGCCTTCCTAGAAGAGATAGATGAAGCAACGGTAATAGTTGCGCTAGCAGATGAAGTACCAGTTCGGTAGCTAACGCTTCCTCGATGGTGTCCGTCCGTTTGTGGATTGTCCGTGGGGTTTGATTTTGATCGACTCAAGGTATCCAATTGTTGTTGTTGCGGGGCATTAGTGTACCGACCATATCCCTCTGCAGTTTTAGGAGGTGGGACGCGGTTTTCACTAAGAAGCGCTTTGACCTTGTTCTGAATCGAGTTTGCTCTATTTCTCGAGGTCGTAGGCTTGCCGCCCGCATCTCGCTCCGCGAGCTGTCTCTTGTATTCTGCGGCCGCTGCTGCCACCCGCCTCTCTTCCTGTGAGAGTCGTCGCTTCTCAAGCTCTCGTTTCATTTCCGGCGGTACGTCCTGGCTACTAACTTCCCAGTAATCATCCAAGTCTAATATATCTTGACTATCAGTAATTACGGGCATTGCCCCACGCTCAGGACTTGACGTCCTCTCTGGATTTTGGTCTTGCGACGACCCGGTATTGTTACGCTCGAACCTACGAAATGCATCCCCAAATTTGCCGGCCAAAAGACCTTTGGAGCTAGGGAGTGATATAGAGGGCATGCTAGCACGCTTAACATGTTTCGCGACAAAATTGCCACTTGCACCCCTCTTTTCTGGCTTCACATCTGATTCGAGTTCTATTGCTTTTAGGTAGTCCACGTTCGACTCAATATTTACGGACCTTTGTGAGTTTATAGATTGACCGGTGATGCTTTGCTGAACCGTATATCCTCCATTCGGAGGCTGCATACTGCTGGTCCCCTGGGTTGTCGCAGAATCCAAATCCCGAAGGAATTCTAAATTGGACTCAACGAAAACACTAGTGGGACGCTGTTTAGAATTTACGGAGGCCGAACGAGGTGGCGGGTTGGGATTTCCAGCTTCGAGTGTTGATGCTGAGCGAGAGTACTCGAGTGAGGGCCGCGAAGAATTTGGTGTTCGAGACACAGTGGGAGTGTGTGTTGCTGACCGACCAACTTCAAGAAGTGTTGTCGGTCTCTGTTGTTTCAACCGTGACACTGCAGGAGCAGAGCCCTGTGATTCAAAGGCCTGTTCCTGTAATTTGCTGTCGGTACGCAGCATAGGGAACTCTCGGGGAGACGGTGATCTAGAAGAGGATGATTCCGGAGAAGTCATAGTTCCCGTAGAAACCATCACTGGCCGAGTGGGTTGAGGTTCAAGGAGAACTGGCCATCCAGACATTCCATGCCCTGTTACTAGCCGGGATGCACTTTGATACTGTTTTGAACCAGTTGGTGCTTTCTGGGCGGGTTGTGGAGCTGCTGAAGCAAATGCATCATCTGCCAGCTTCTCAGTTAATCGGGTGCTAAGATCTTTCTTTCCAGGATCTGAAGTTGACGGCAACAGTCCCTCCGCAAACTCAAACTTGTTTCCGGAATCGTGAAGTAAATTAAATTGCTCTACACTTGGGAACCTAGATGCAGAATCATTCATACTAAAAGGACTCGTATTTTGATCAAGGGCGGAAAACGGATCAGTTGATGTTGAGCGAATTTTGGGTGATGGGTCGGGTATGGTTGGCCTTGTTCTTGAAGTACCCGGCGAGTGTGCGACGGGTCCATCTTTGGTCGGCCTACCACGGCGCATTGGCGTGATATCTGGAAGTGGTTGTGGCTGTGGTGGGGGAGGAGGCTGGTAGGCGACAACGCTAGGAGGAGATTGAATTGTGGGAGATACTTGCGGTTCCACAGGCGATCTTTGTGCTGAAAGCTCTAAATAAATCTGATAAGTGTCAACTGTGATGCTTGATACCAATCTTTTGAGAAACATACATCTTTTATCGGTACTTGCTTTCCGCGCATCGAACAGACTTCCCGGACTACCTGGTAAATGTTGGGTCGCTGCTGAGGAGCCTCTCGCAACATCCATGCTGATGCCGTCAGTAGAAACTACGGGGAAGCGAAATGGCTAGACACCCACCAATAAGTTTTTTTATACGATCCGAGAACGGAGGATACGAAGGAAACTTGAAGGAGGCATTCAAAATAGCGAGTGTTCCTTGCTCCTCAAAAGGCGTTGTATAATAGCAAAGCTTGTATAAAAGGACGCCCAAAGCCCATATATCTGACTTCTCGTCAATAGGTAGTTTTCGGTACACATCAACCATTTCCGGTGATCGATATTGGAGTGTCGTATGTTTTTGTATATCCTCTTCCACCAGTCGACATTCTACAACAGTCTGTGCGGCAGGTTTTACTGAAGCACATGATCCAAAATCACAAAGTTTGTACCCTCGATGTGACCCTATCAAAACGTTCTCGACCTTTAAATCTCGGTGAAGAAGGGGAGGCTGAAGGTAGTGCATGCAGGCGACCCCTTCCGCTACGTCGTCAAAAATCTTAAGGATCTCGGGTTCCGTGAGTCGATTCTGGAGCCTGGTATTCATAAAGTCGATCAAACCTCCTCCTATTCACATATTGTCAGTGCAGCTATTTTTTTAAAATGATCTTTAACTGCCTCATACCCGAGCAAAATTCCATCAATAGAAACACCTCATATCCACCACCCTTCAAATGAGACGCATGCGAGTCGATATATGTAACGATGTGTCGATGGCCTTTTAGCCGTTTCTAAGAGTTCCCAAAATTCAGATATGAAATAAGACACTCAGAGAGACCGGAACGAACCATTGTCTCAACTTCTGTCCTCATACTCGTAAGGGCCTCCTTATCCGGAACGGCGACTCGCTTCAAAACCGCCACATCCAATCCATCGACTGGGCGTGAAAGCTTGACCAAGTAAACATGAGCAAAACCACCTGGGAAGTTGAATCAATGTCAGCAGAAGGTCAAATGCAAGAAATGCAAATGGCAAACTACTACTAGCCTTCAGATAAATACCGCTCTATAGTGCACTTGTGGGCGCCAACTGTTATTAACGTTCCCGGAAGAAAGGTCCCAGGTGGGGCGTTTGGGACAGGTATCGAGGGAGCATGATAAGTCTGCGGATACTGAGCAGGGTGATGACCGTAACTCGGCGCAGCCATAGAAGGGTACCGGGATTGAGTATCTGCTAAAGAGCCAATCGCGGAGGGGGCCAACGAAGCTGCAGAGAAGCAGCAGCAGTCAGGATAGCAAGAAAAAGAGGGGGTAGGTTGCTCTCCGTTTGGTCAGTAGCCGGGAAACGAGACGAAGGGGTATGTCTCGGTATGCAGCTCTATTTGAAAAGAAGGGTTTCGGGGGTCGTTTTTTGGAGGAGGTGATGAGGATGAGCGGGGGATTATCTTCAGAGCACACCCCGGTGTCGAGATGGAGACGGGATGACGAGGTGGGGAGGGGGGGGGGTAGTTGCTGTATATGGGAGGAAATAAGTGTGAAGTTGAATGGGGGATGAATGGTTGTGGAGATTTGGTTTGATCTGATGATGAGTTGAGGTCTCTCCTTGTAGACGTTAGGTGCAGTTGGGAGAAGTCACTGATCTACCTCCTCGACCTAGGTACGTACATGCGGAGGTTTCAACGGATGAGGTGGTCGTTGCTAGCCGGTGACCCTAGACAGTTCTGAGAATGCTCACAGACAGCGAGCGCGAGGCAACTCCTTCTCTAGAGTATTGTACATACTGTATATCCTGTACTCTACTAATTTGTAGGTAGAGTACATGACTTTCATATTGCGTTCTAATCTATCAATCCCCCAGATCTTTGAATCGAGATCGAGGAAGACGATAGGCTTTGCAGAATACTGGAGTGCTTCAATCTCTACTTTACACTATTGGAATGTCGACGCGTTTTATCCGTAAGTCGAATAAGAACTATCGTGAAAATGCATATTTCTTAAGCGAATCACATCTTGACATACGAATCTACAGGCATACGTGTGGGCATAGAGTACCAAGTTGATACGGGGTGTGAGTAGAGATTATTCTGTTTGGTGGGCGAAAATCCTAGACTTCCTGGATCCCTACCAAGGTAGCCTGTGTAGAGTAATGTCGTTGCTAAGTCATCCTACGAGCAATACGCAGACAAGAGACGAGTGACCCCTCATCACACCTCCACTCGTCATCTATGTATACTACAGTGTTTCACATCAGAGTCAGTCGTGAGGTGCCTGTCAAATCCAGCGGTCAGCCGTAAAATATCAATCGAGATGAGTCGTCAAACCCCAATCTCTGGATCTGTTGAAATCACATGACGAAGTCCTTAGACTTTCAAGGAGGGAGTTGAATGTAACCTATTGCTCCGTTGAAACACAAATGCACTGTATCGAGGACAGATATCACCAAGAGCAGGAGTGTTTCCCCGGCTCCCAGACTGAACTCGGCACAAACTGTTCTTCCCTCGCTTTCGAATCCCTCCCCAAAGCAAGGCTGGCTGCAGCCAATGTGCATGAAACCATTCCACTACGGTGCTAGCGCCTCTTGGCACTATGCCGGGGTCTAACGCGAGGCCAGTACGTTAAAAGGGGAGGCGGTAACCCCCAGAAAGCTCTGAAATGGAGTGTTCAAAGCTCCCCGCAGCAGCAACGCCGTCTTTGGAGCTGTGATTTTCCTCGTCTTTATTTTCCATTTTTTGCTTTTTCCATTTCCGCCATCCGTCCCCCCCCCAACCTGGAAAAGCAACGTTCCTAGCTTCAACTAGCGGCGCGTTACCCTAGTCTGCCAAGCTTCACTGCAAAAACACCAAACAGAGCCCCCTTAAAAACCGACCGCTGTCCCCGCTCACCCGCCCGTTCAAACATTTACCCATACCCCCTCGTCGAACTGCTGTACCTGCTGCTTGCTTGCCAACCCGACCAACCACCGACCTCTACGGCTTCGACAGTTGTTGTCGCTCTCGGGACCTCATTTTGATTGGTGTGTTCATCTGCGTGTGTGAGTGGTGTGTATGCGTGTGTGTTTGAACCCACCACCGTATCTGATCTCCCGTTCGCGCGCCCCTTCCTCTTTCCCGCCCACGAGTTTAATAAAGTAAACAATAATAATAGTCTTCCTTCTTTGTCTAGCTCGTCTTCACATCGCGCCAAGGGATATTTGTTCTTTATTTGCGACCACCCATTTCAACCAGTCTGTCCCCTCACCCACACTTTTTTGCCCTTCCCACTATGGGCGTTGTTGCTTAGAACATGTCCAGGTAAGCATTTCCTATCCACTGGCCCCACACGTGATTTCTCACAACGCCTGCTGCATCATCAGCAGACTACGTGATTGATTATGATGAATGAATGATTCATGATTCATGGCGCCCCGTCCTTCAGATCATGATGATGGTGCTGCTGCTGCTACTGCTGCTGCTATTGTCTATCTACATGCCGGAGACTAACGAGTCCATCCTTGTGATTGCCTGCCCTACAGATTAGACAGACTTGTAACGTGAGTGAAATCCTACTCCCAGTGTTCCTGTTGTGTTTCATTGCACCACCATCTATCGCAGAGCCTCACCCTTTGCTTTTTGTCGTTCAACCTTCCCTAAAGCTTGTTTTGAACTGTTTCTAACGGATGTGCTTTTTGTCAATATAGGCTACTCGACTCCGGGTCGAGTCAGCTCGTGCGAAATACCGCCGCTGCCCAACTTGCCGATATCCAGAAAGCACATCCTGATGAACTATTCAACTTACTCAATAGGGTTGTCCCATTCCTAAGATCAAGGAACTGGGATACTCGACTCGCAGCAAATAGGGCGATCTCTGGGATTGTTGAAAATGCGGAAAAATGGGACCCTAACGCTCTAGATGATCCTATAAAGTCCGAAGTTAAAGAAGAAGAGCATGGAAGCTTAATTGCTGAGACAGCTTTAATCAAGTTGGAAAATGGTGTCGCCGCCGCTGCTAGTGCAGATGACTTGCTGACATTCGACACTCTTGATATAACGGCGGTCATTAAGAACGGAAAGAAACTACTTGGGAGCTCAGGAAAAGAGTATGACTTTTCTCTGGCTGATCTGGATCCAGCGGAGCGTCTAGCGGCGCAGAAGAGAAATGTAACGGCAAGATTGGGCCTAGGAGGCGAATATATTGAAGATGAGATTGTTACCGAGAAGGATTTTGCGGCAACAGGGCACTCAGTACAAACACCACGGATTGATACTTCTGTTGGAGGAGTTTTCCGTGCACCTATGGCTTCCCCAGCCATCCAAACAACAATGATGGCAATGTCCCCTGATGGCCCAAATAATACGCCGCAAACCCCAACGGATGAAGGCGCATCAGCACTTAGCAAAAGGCAACAAAATATGTTGAAAAGAAAAGCTAAAGCAAATGCCAAGAATCATGCGAATAAAGTTCGCGTGGTAGATCTAGGGTCATCAGCCCGAAGGATGAGCATGGATGTTGTGCCACAAACCCCCATTGAGGCCAATACCCCGCATCCAGTGAAGCAACAAGATGCTGCCAATGGAACTGTTGTTGTTCCCGATTACTTCTCCTTGGATACAAAGAACCCTCCGGATGATACCAAAATTATTGTTGAGCATAAGGGCCCTGCAGCTCCGCCATCTCCAATAATTCAAACTTCCGGAGAGGTGTTCGAATGGCCCTTCGAGCGTCTTTGTGAAATTCTCCTCGTAGACCTGTTCGATCCTAATTGGGAAATCAGGCATGGTGCTGCTATGGGCATCCGGCAAGTTGTGAGGGTACATGGAAATGGTGCAGGGAGAGAGAGAGGTAAAACTCGTAAAGAGAATGATGTTCTCAACCAGAAATGGCTAGATGATCTAGCGTGTCGATTGTGCTGTGTTTTCATGTTGGATCGTTTTGGCGACTATGTCTCCGATACCGTACGTTCTCTCGAATTCTCACTCGTCTTCCGTGTTGCTAAGAATGTCTTTTAGGTGGTTGCCCCGATCCGTGAAACTACATCGCAGACAATGGGTGCACTTTTGTGTCATCTTCCACCAGCCTCGGTTCATTCTGTATACCGCATTTTGTACCGACTCGTTATGCAAGAGGACCTCAATCTCACTAACCCTGTATGGGAGGTCTGCCATGGTGGTATGCTCGGGTTAAAATATCTCGTTGCCGTTCGTACGGACCTGCTAGTGCAAGATACAGAGCTCCTAGATGGAGTGGTTAGAGCTGTCATGCGGGGGTTGGCGGATCATGATGACGATGTTAGGGCCGTCAGTGCAGCTACTCTCATTCCTATTGCCTCTGAATTCATTAATTTGCGGCCTGCAGCGGTCGATGGCTTAATCAACGTTGTTTGGGAATGTCTTTCGCACCTCAAAGATGATCTCAGTGCGAGTACAGGCTCGGTCATGGATTTGTTGGCGAAACTATGCTCGTTCCCGCAAGTTCTAGAAGCCATGAGGATGAAAGCTTCTACAGACCCATCGTAAGCTCTCACCAATCACATTTTTACCCTCCTCATTTATTTTGAAGTAGCGCTTTATTGATATTTTTTTTTTATAGTCAATCGTTTGCCTTATTGGTGCCCCGACTTTATCCCTTCTTGCGTCATACAATTACCAGCGTTCGGGCTGCGGTACTACGTGCTCTCTTGACCTTCTTGAATATTCAAGGTGATGGAACGAAGGGATGGGTCGAGGGTAAAATCTTGCGACTGATTTTCCAGAATTTATTGGTCGAAAGAGTCGAGGTAAAATACTCCACATTGTCTCTGTCGTACTCAGCTAACTTTTTTATTAGTCTGTCTTATCATTATCTCTACAGGTTTGGATGGCGTTGACTGAAGAGCTCGCCCGAGATGACCCTCACCGGTTTGCCACCGAGTTTGGAATGCATCTTGACCCACTAATTTCCCTATTAACCACTCCTATTGGTGTATCACGCCACCCCCATCCTATGGACCCGTCTCTGTTCATTAGACCATCAGGGCAGACACTGGTTCTGCCTGGACTAATGAGAGGACCCTCACCGGCCCAACCTCCACCCGCTGCCACAGAACCGGCTGCCAAAAGACGTCGTAAGAGTGAAAAGAAAGAAGAGCCAATTGTATCGGCACATAATGTTGATGGTCATATGATTCAAGGTGATGTTGACCTAGTTGGTGTGGAGACAATTATCAAGACAAAGATTGCTGGTGCAAAGGCCCTGGGTAAAGCCATGAGCCTTTGGCCAAAGGAGGAAGCCCTATCTACATTCCATTCCAGGATTGTCACATGTCTTCAATCTCAGTTTTCTTCCACGGAGCTTGTCACAGCAATGATTATCGAGGAGTACGCAAAAGAGACGAGCGAAATGACGGATCTCAAAGCAGCATTCTTAGAAGCGTTATCCAATCTTCTCAACTCTGAACGGCCATCTTGCTACCGTGACTTGGCCTCGTACGTGCATATCGTTCAGGCACAGTGCCGTTCATTACTTAACGCCTTCCGGGATATCGGCCGTGTTTCCGCTTCTAAAATTCCCAGCATCGCTGCGGTCTGTCAAGGAGACCCAGAGGCTGGTCCGGATGCATTTAGTATTGAAAAGGCAGAAAAGATAGCCGGGGAAGAGTTTACCCGTCTCAAGCGTGCGCTCCTTCCGACGCAAAAATTAATGTCTTCTCAAGCACTTGCAGACGCCAGAGCAAGCGCTGTAGCAGCTATCGAAGATACCAAAGTAGCGAAGGCGCAGCGCGACGTTCGGGTTTTGGCAGCTGCTGCTGGTGCATATATTGCTTCTGGACAATTACCGAAGAAGCTCAATCCGGTTGTTCACGGTGTTATGGAAAGCGTCAAGTTAGAAGAAAACCTCGATTTACAGCGGCGTTCAGCTCAAGCAATTGCCTCACTTGTGGGGCTGTGTTCAAGAAGTGGGCGTGCTGCGGTGGCAGATAAGCTCACTAAGAATCTCAACTCTTTCCTCTGCGTAGACACCTCGGAAGTCCCCATGTTCCACCAAAATGAGACACTAGAGGAGAACATTTTGTCCTTGAGGAAAGAGGAAGATCGCAAAGACCATGCTGATCAGGCAGCCTTCGAAAGAGAAGCTAGAGAAGCAAGGATTAAAAGGCGTGGTGCCAAAGAGGCACTGGAACAATTGGCACAGACTTTCGGTGCCTCCTTATTTGATGCTGTACCGAAACTACGGGATTGTATCGAGGCGCCTTTGCATGCTGCTTTTGATGGCGACCTTCCAAGTAATATCAAAGATCCCAACGTCACTCTTGGACAAGAGGTTGTTGACGGTCTTTCAACGATCCGGGCATTACTTCCTAAGTTCCACCCTGATCTTCACCCATCAATTATCAGTCTCTTTCCTTTAATCATAAGGGCCCTCCAGTCAAATTATTCGGTACTCCGTTACGCTGCTGCCAAATGCTTTGCTACAATATGCAGTGTGATTACTATTGAGGGAATGACTACCTTGGTTGAAAAGGTTTTGCCAAACTTTGCAAATGCTCATGAGTTGCGCTATCGTCAAGGAGCTATCGAATGTGTCTATCATTTGATCCACGTAATGGAGACTGATATTCTTCCATACGTTGTATTCTTGATCGTTCCAGTATTGGGAAGAATGAGCGACTCAGACAATGATGTTCGCCTCATTTCCACGACCACTTTTGCAACACTGGTCAAATTGGTGCCATTAGAGGTGTGTAGTTTCGTTTTTATCCAACTTTCGAATGTAGTCACTGATTAGTTCAATCTTTCTAGGCCGGTATTCCTGACCCCCCTGGGCTTTCTGAGGAACTGTTGAAAGGACGTGATAGGGAGCGGAAGTTTATATCGCAAATGCTCGACGTACACAAAGTCGAACCCTTTGAACTTCCAGTCGCCATCAAGGCTTCATTGAGATCTTACCAACAGGAGGGTGTTAATTGGCTGGCTTTCTTAAACAAATACCATCTGCATGGTATCTTGTGTGATGGTCAGTGCCTACCCCAGACTGATGAAAAAACCTAGGCTAAGCTTTTGCTGACTTAACATAGATATGGGTCTTGGAAAGACACTACAAACGATTTGTATCATTGCCAGTGATCACTATCTACGAGCACAAGACTTCGAGAAGACGGGTGCCATCGAAAATCGTCGTTTACCATCACTCATTGTCTGCCCTCCAACCCTGTCAGGGCATTGGATGCAGGAGATCAACCAGTTTGCGCCTTTCCTTACTGCATTGTGCTATATTGGAAATCCAGCAGAGCGCGCGCGTGTCCGTGCACAGCTTGGCACAACAGATATCGTTATTACCTCGTACGATATATGTAGGAATGATATTGAGAACATTGGTTCTTTCAGCTGGAACTATTGCGTTCTTGACGAAGGGCACATCATTAAGAATTCCAAGGCGAAGCTTACACAGGCGGTCAAAAGGATATCTGCGAACCATCGCCTCATCTTATCAGGAACGCCAATTCAGAACAATGTCCTTGAGCTATGGTCTCTATTTGATTTCTTGATGCCTGGTTTCCTTGGCACTGAAAAAGTCTTTTTGGACCGATTCGCCAAACCGATTGCAGCTAGTCGAAATAGTAAGAGCAATTCAAAAGAACAGGAAGCGGGTGCCCTTGCTATTGAAGCACTGCATAAACAAGTGTTGCCATTCTTACTTAGAAGACTGAAGGAAGAAGTGCTGGATGATCTACCTCCAAAAATCATTCAGAACTATTACTGCGACCTCAGCGAGTTGCAAAAGAAGCTGTATGACGACTTTGCGAAAAAACAATCGAAACAGATTGCGGGGGCAGTTGCAGCGGAAGGGGACAAACAGGCCAAGCAACACATCTTCCAGGCTTTACAGTACATGCGGAAGCTATGCAATTCTCCAGCTTTAGTCCTCAATGAAAAGCACCCCCAGTTTGAGAAGCTTAGTCGTCAACTAATCAAAGACAAATCACATATCCGGGATCCTATTCATGCGCCAAAGTTGGGAGCTTTGCGCGACTTACTTGTGGATTGCGGAATCGGGATCGACAGTGTCAATAACGGAGGTGAAATTCCGGCCGAGGCAACTGCTATCAGTCAACATCGCGCATTGATCTTTTGCCAGTTAAAAGAGATGTTGGATATTGTGGAGAATGACGTCCTGAAGAAACTACTGCCAACTGTGTCATATTTGAGAATGGATGGTGGTACCGAGGCAAGAAAAAGGCAAGATATTGTCACCAAATTTAATGGAGATCCATCAATCGATGTCTTGCTCTTGACTACTCACGTTGGTGGTCTGGGTCTCAATTTAACTGGAGCGGATACTGTTATATTTGTGGAGCATGATTGGAATCCCCAGAAGGATATGCAGGCTATGGATCGTGCGCATCGTATTGGGCAAAAGAAAGTGGTAAATGTGTATAGATTGGTCACACGAAGCACGTTGGAGGAGAAGATTATGAGGTATGTTTTATTCATTCTTTTTATATTATAAGTACTAACATTAGAATACAGTCTTCAACGATTCAAATTGGATGTTGCATCGACAGTTGTAAATCAACAGAATGCTGGTCTAGCCACCATGGAAACGGATCAAATTCTCGATCTCTTTAATGTTGGTGATACGGGAGCCATACAAAAAGAGGCTGCCGAAGAAGATATGGTGGATATCAATGGGCAGGTTATCAAGAAAGGTAACAAAGGCGTGTTGGATGACCTCGGGGAACTATGGGACGATTCCCAATACACCGACGAATACGATCTCAACAACTTCATCGCAACCTTGCAGGCGTAAAGATAAAGAATCAGACACTGGAATCATTTCTTTTCCTTTATGGATTTTAACTATATTTTCTCTATTTTTCATGTCTGAGGTTCGAAATACTGTATATTTAAACATCACCATCGTCATCAGAAAAAAAGAAAAGAAAGGAGGTGGATATCAACAAAACGGTGAATCGGTCACTTGGGTAAAAAACACCTATATTGGTGGTTTCTTAATTCTCTGGCACAGTTACCGATCTATCATAAATGGAGGAACGAAACGAGAAAGACCACCCCAAAACAAAAAAAAAAAAAAAAAAGGCGAAGGAGTGATAGATTGGGGTGTTAAAGAACACAGGGAGTCAATTCAATGGGTAGAAGGAGGTAATAGGAGCAATGGGGCGTTGGTTTTTTCATTTCTTTTTCTTTTCTTATTTTTTGCCGTCTCATGGCTCTGGGTTGTTCGAATTTTTTTTTTTTTTCTTTCCGATTTTGAGAGAAGGGAAATTACTGAAGCCCTTCTTTTCTTTCTCCCATTTTTGGGAATGTGGTATGCAGGCAAGTATTATGATGAGGCAGGGATGTTACGCAAGAAAAAAGCAATTTTCCGCTAGTTAATAATGGATTCACGTATAATGTAACTACTTTTGATCCCTCGGTGACTGTCACGGTCTCTAAGAGAAAAAACATATCTTCTGTCGTAATAGAAGATACCCGTGAACGTTCGTTGGTTATGAAATTTAGGTGAATAATATTGTACTCGCACTCCTCCGATACTACCATTCATCCCGATTTCCTTTCATCCGCAGTCTTGCTTGATAACCTTAAGTATTTTGGGGAGATCGAGACCTTGCATCCCGATGTGGCATCAAGTGCGAGGCATGGCTTCAAAATTAAGTTTACAGCGCCGGCCGGTGGAAACGTAGTTATGTGGCGATCATAACCAGGAGGACTAGCCTTCTGGACCAATCAAGGTTTCTCTTTCGGCCTTCTCATTTTAATGATCGCTGAACAGCCCAATGTGGTTACCAAACTGATATTAGCTCAGCCGATGCCCTCAACAACTGAAGTGTATGTGAAGGAGAATAGTACGCATCCCGATTGGTTACTCGTATCTGTTGAGAATTTTCAGGGGATTTGTTGCCCTGCTACAGCGATTCACAGGCATTTGGCGAATACACCCATTTGGCGAATTTGTATGTAGCAACCAGCCAGCAACCAGTCAAACTGCGAGTTTGACTAAGATATCCTGATTCTTATTGGCCGTGACCCCTGTTCGTCAAATGGGTGTATTCGCCAAATGCCTGTGAATCGCTGTAGCCTATTCTCGTGAGTGTCGCCTTGAAGCCCTGGCGTTCGCCTTGATTGGTGGTTTAGACTGCACTACTAAATCCTTTTTGGGGCCACTAGCGTATCTCTAGACTGCAGGTCAATGATAGAATTCCCGGATTATATCATGGCTTAGAATAACGCCAAAACATCCATTTCTAAGACGTGCGATAGCAGATCGAGCAAATGTTCATCAGCGCTTACAGTTGCATGGTGTGACGCCAGGGCTGTTGGTAGTCACGCTATCGCCTAATCACCGACCGAGTGACCGGGTGTGACAGTGACAGGTCCCAACCTGGAATCGCCCACATGATCAGCTGGGGGCTATCCAGGTTTTAAATATGACGCGGTCATACATAGTCGTCGAACTGCCGTTTATTCCTTCACTTTTGCCAGTAAGTACGTACTGCAGTAGGAGAATGTCTGAGGGAAGTTTTCTCCTGCTTGGGGCGTAATGGTCGCCTTGCAGGGAATAAGTGGTTCCGCGTGAAGAGGAGGAATTAAGATGAGCAGGGGCACCGAAGATGAAGCTAAGATGGAGGCACAGCCATCACCACATCGCTTCTATATATTCTCATGGCCGATGTTTACTATTGTTTAGATGTCGCTATATTGAGAGATATGGCTGGACGCCCTATATACGTACGTCAAGATCAGATGCAGGGGAGAGTTGCCCCATATTATCCAAAGGCGAAGCTTCGTTCCGGCGTGCCTGCATGCGCACGTACCCAAGCGATCAATTAATCAATCAAGCAGGCAGGCACTCTGCAACCACCACACGTGGATCATGATGTGTGCACATGGGCATATTAGCTTCTGTATGAACTTCATCCCCCCTCATCCCCATCACCCCCCCATCACCCCCCCAAAACCCCACCACCAAACTTCGCGTCTTCTAGAAGGGGTCCACCGGGTTCAGCCTTCTGACTATGACGCACAGCCAATTTTCTTCAAGACATAAAAGTTAAATACATCTTGCTGAGAAGAGCGCACACGACCCAAATGACCCATTCGTGGCATTATTACTATTCCTTCTGCGACAAACAAAAGGGGTCAAGCCTTGCAAATTGAGAACATTCCGAGCTGCGTTGCGTCATAAATATGCGCGCTCTCTTGATCCGGGGTTCATCAGGTACTATTTTTTTCTTGTATTACACGACCTGTGACCATTGTTTTGGACAGAAACATATCATGAGGTTTAAAGTTTGGTGCTGAGCCCCCGCCAGAGGCCACTCATTCGGTTCGGACCAGAGAAGGGACGAAATAGCTACAAATACCGATGAGTTCTCATGCCTGTTGTGAGGTACGGTCAATATCAGCTAAGTCATTGCCGTCCTGTGGGAATCTACGATATATAAACTTGGAAGGTAGGTCGTTATCCCCCACTGATCATCCCATACGTCCAATAACACTACTTACCCAATATCCTCCAACTAGTACTAGCTTTACACTTGAGAATCGCGGGACCTACATCCCTAAGCTTACCTTCAGAATGAGGTACACCAATAGCGCCGCCCACAGCTACGCTCCCCAACCCAGCAGCGATCCATACCGTTACGCCTATCCCTCATCAGGAGGATCAGGACAAGTCTACACACCCGTTCAGCGTGGCGCAAGCAAGCGCGACGCCCCTCTCTTCTCCGTCAAGCAAGACCTTGCCTACAACCGCTACCACACGCACTACTTTACACCCAAAGACGCATACCCACCGCACTCGCGCACCTTTGCAGAGTACAACGCACGCTACAATGAGCGCGAGCGCGAGCAGAAGGGCCGCAGGAAGTCGTCGCGGAAGCGGAAGTCCATGCCTGTCCCTCCGCCCCCTCCGCCTCCGGTGCAGATATACTGTGATAAGCCGAGGCATAGCAGTAGGCGCAGGTCGGCGAGCCCGCAGGTAGAGTCGATGTTTTACATGGGTACCGAGAATCACCCGCCCATGTTTCGGTCGAAGAGGTCGAGGAATCCGTATTCGCCGTCGCCGTCACCACCACCGGCTTGGCTTGGTGGGGATGGGTCGCGGCGGGATAGGATGGCGAGATCGCCTAGTCATTATGGCGGTGGTGGTAGCGGGCATGGCGAGAGTAGACTGAGGCGTGTAGCGAGGTTTTTGTTTGGGTCTTGGTGATTGGGTGTGATTTTTTTTTTTTTGCGGGAATTTCTTTTTGATTGAGTGCGTTTTTTCTTTTGTTAGGGCTGAACGAATTGTAATAGGTATATTTCCTCTCTCTCGTTTGTTTTTTTTAGGCGTGGCGTTGAATTTGTCTTGTTTCGGGTTACACTACTCTCTTCGTTTCTTTTTTCATTTGTCCGGATCTTACATACTTGTACGTTCTTGTTAATCAAGGTCTGGGATCGGAAAGGGTGGACATAAATTGTGTGGCAGAGCCACCCCAGCTGGGAGGATGGACATCAAATTGCACGGCAGAACCAACTACAATGGGTCGCTTGATTTTTGATTTAAACCATTTATTGTCATATTTTTCTTTTGTCGCTTTATGAGTCTTATGAACGATGTAACGATAGTAAGAATATAACCTGTTTTTCTTTTTTTTAATGTTTTGCTATTCAAGTTAGATGGTGACATCACAGAATATCACTCGAGTGCGATGGCTTTGAACCAGCTATCAAGCTCTCAAACATAACTCGTAGTGCACTCCGTACTAGCTGAAGTACTAGACTCTCATTGGTCTGTGTAGGGCTAGGGTTTAGGTGCGTGTAGCGTCAAAAAGGCTATTTGGACAGGTGTGCGCACAAGAAAGCGGTACTCCCATAAAGACTTTCGCTTATGCCAACCCCTAACTGGCTGAAACCATACAACCAATACTAAATACCCCCACAACTAGCGTCGCCATCTACTACAGGTAAATTATTACCATGTTACCAGCAAGCTCCAGTCGCTCACATTGCTGATGGTACCGCGCCCTATCGACACATCGTATCTTCTGCCCTTTGGGATATCCTCTGGAAGTAAGCTTTGTGGTGGAGATATTGAGTTCTGGTATGTAGTTCTAAATCACCATATATAGGATCGGCTCGAGCCTTTCTAGAGTTGAAAGTCTTGGTCTGGATGCTCACGCTGACCTTTAGATGAACTCTGAACCAAAATTCATAGATTTAATGGTGTCTCAATTGATCAACCTCGTGGAAGTTCGCTCATGTAGTGCTCCACCTGACGTTTGGTCCGAGCACCAGCTTGTTAAACTTGCCCCAGGAAAGCGTCTCGGCACTCTATCCGTTGTGAGGGCAAGATGGATATCTCTTTCCTCTACGGAATTAATCGGTCTTAGATCAGTGGAACGGTGAGCACCTGCGGTGCTTCACCCACAAAATGAAGGTGTGGCTTTATGCAGAGAACCATCAGGAAGAAGAGTCCGAGTGGTAGGAATAGTCACGCAGTAATTACAGCTCTTTTGGGGGGATCTTCGAGTGGCTTCTGAGCATGGAACCTCTTGTACGATGCATGTACCTTCCGTGACGGCTTGTCTTGACACCCATCTTTCATCCGAGAAAAGATGTATGGTCATTTCATCCGCAATCGTGAGAGGAAGGCTCAGGGTGTCTGGAAACACGCCCTGTAGACACCCTCTGTCTTGGAGTCAAGTGCCCCAAACCGAATCCTCAGGCAAGGCAACGGCGCCACTGCCTCGTGAGATACACTCCGCAGCTACCTACTAACTAGCCGGGACTAACCCAGATCCGTCAAGAGCATCAGGTCCGATCGGTACTACTGGCTTAGTCTCGTGTTCGTCTCCTTCGGGCGGTCGGGGGGCTGGGAATGAGCCTGCTACTGGCTACATGTAGTCGGCGGGTTGATTAAGGGTTGAACAAGGTTCTGGGGAAACTTTAATCGAGTGGTGTAACTATAATGACGAGAGATATCAAAGATGATCTGCCAACGCAACTCGATCCTCGCATGGCTTTGCAGAGAACCGCTTCTTTCGTACGACTAAGGGCTGACTATCCCATCGTCCGTCAGTGAAATGCTGACCCCCAGAAAAAAGTAAGTTTTGTGTGGGATCTTGTTATCTCTCTTATCAAATAATAGATCTCTCATACAAATTTAATTCCTCTATTATCCCATGACCCGTAGCTTGGTTTTGACACTTTGGCTAAAACACTATCCTGCAACCCACCACTCATGAAACTATGCAATCCTGAGCTCCGCACCTTAAGAATCATGTTGATGAGATATGGGGTCGATTAGAGAACATACGGTCGACAACCAGGCACCGTTGGTTACTGGCGAGGGCTTCAAAGCCCTCTGCTACGGGTCAAGGGATAGGGGGGTCAGCATTGGCCATGGGATATACATGTAGGTCTAAGATTCTATAAGCCTCTTACTGTCTCATGCCTGTGGCCAGTCCGCCTGAATGGACCATTTGGATTCCGCTCTAGTTGTCTTGCGAAAAATGGCACACTGATGCTGGGATCGGGGAAATATCGATTCACCTAAAGATCTGCGCGGGAAAAATAGAGAACCATCGAAAAGAAGTGGTGGGGTTATACTCTTTTCATATTCGCTAGGTAAGGGCATGGGACAGATTCAATTTCTTGACAACACCCGTTCTCTATTTCTCAGGCCACAAACCTATCTACCGTAGGGACACAGTAGGAGAAGTTATATTATCGTGGAAAATGGTATATACGCGCTAAGCGCATGGCATTTCAACAGTTCACCCAATCCAGAAACACTTCAACCCAGACCCGTTGACTAAAACTCGGCTCTTCAAAGCGACTGACTACAGCCCAAAGAAAGCATCGGCGATTTGGTCGCCATTGAATTTGAGCCGAAGTAATGAAGTTGTCCTTTTGTGGTTGGTGGGTTGTGTTTCGTTGGAGTAAGTGGAATTTTACGCCGAGACAAATAGACAGTCGAGTGATATCCTATGACGGTAGCTTGACAGGGAGGCTGGGTGTATGGTTTGCCAGATACATGTACCCACCCAGTTTTGGCTTGCACTGCGAATTCATATGAAACCACGTAGTTCTTAGTATAGATCAGGATATAACTTGACTAAACCTAGAGGGTGGCAACATCACCTTCCTAGATACGATGTCTCCGACCCCCCGGTGCTAATAGCTGGCCCAGTGCTGCAAAAACCTCCTTCGCCGTATTTAATAGATTTATCTAGCCTATGCTATCAATACTTCCTATGCATGGCCGATCGACGACGTACATTATGTCCTTCAATCCCCAAAATTACTACAGCCGACGATGATCATACTCCCATACCCCTACTACCCCAAAACTGGTTTTCTGAACATTGGATTGGGCTTGGCGGTCTCTCTTTTCGTCGGGGGTGAAAAAGATGCTCTGGTTGGGGTTTAAACCCAATTCTCCCTGCGATTTTATAAGTTTTTAATGTTTTTGGTGAGGGCATGCTAACCAATTGCACCACCAGAGCTTGAATATATGTGTGTTTAGGCGGTTTATGACCTGGGTGCATGTATTTGGAGGACGGAATGAAAGGGATTTATGGAGGTGATGAAAGTTTATGGTATGTGGGTGGGGAAAGGAAGTCTGTGCTGTGCTATGAAAAGTATCTTTGAGGTCCGTTTCTAGTTTCGTATATGTGACACTTTGCGGATCTTTTAGGCCCTCAGAGTCACCTTGCTCTTGGGTTAGAAGAGGAGATTTGGTGACTAGATCTAGCCTACGTTCTCTTCTTTGCTTGCGAGTTGAGAAGGGTTTAATTCTGGACCAACTGTTAGGCGAACTTTGATAATAGAGAATGACTAAACATACATAGGTAAACTAGAAGATCTAGAATCGCACTGCCTCCTTTACCTTGGCTTGTTTGTGTTCCAGTGGTTGACCGTTCACGATTTGCCCGGGTTTACGATTAACCGGATTCTATATGTGATGAGCCCGTTGGTGTGGCTATTAATTTGGTTACATGTAGTAGTCATGGATCACAATCACTGAAAAGCGAGTTTGAAGTCATGAGAGAGCCAGAGTTTATTAAAAAAATATCTACAAAATTATTTACAATAAAAAGATATAAAATCTACTAGTCACAAAAGGCAAGAGAGAGAGAGAGCAAAGAGCTAGTTAAAAAAATTTATTTAAAAAAAAAAAACTATCCAAACAATTCTGTTTATAACCCTAACCCTAATTTTAGGGCTATGGGCAAAACCATAATATTAACTGCTCCCAAAAGAAAGAAAAATTTCAGTTGAGCCACCCGAAGGTGAACGCAGTGCAACAAGGAGGGAAAAGAAGAGTGGCGGGAGAACATGGCCTTATATACTGGTGAGAGATGCCAAGATCTGGTTTTTCGCCAGTTGCAGAATGTTTTTCGCCGACTGTGGACTGGCTAAAAGCTCTAGGCATACCTGGATGAGTCGGTCTGTAGTGGTAGAAGTATGCTAAGCTATCTTTTAGCCACTCACTACAACTTGGACATTTGTTGTCCCGAATATTCGCTCCATTGTGCCAAGAAATCGCCCGAGTGATTGATTGTGATTGTAGATTAGTTAAGCATGAATCCTATAAAACACTTATCCTTGAGTGTGTAGCAGTATGGACATGGACTGATGTGTTGAGCAGTGAGGAAGGACACGCAGGCACCTCCTGAGAGCACGGAATATCATCCATGGGTGAATCAACCAATGCTGTTATCTGTAAGAGACTTCTACCCAGCGGCGGTAGCTAGTAGCAGCGACGTCAGTTAACAGTTCAAAGCACCCTCCTCGGAAACAATATGTTAGGTCCCTCCTGTCACTCTTTCTTCCTTTCCCACTTGCAATTTCGAATTCTGCAGCGTCCTGTTGATCCATATCTTTGGATAAAAGTTCCCCATTGTAACGTAGGGGAAGCCTCTTCGACGACGATGTCGTTGGTAAACTTTTTTCATGGGTCCTTGCAACAGTGTTGGCCTTCTCCACCTGTGTTTCTGACTGAAGTGAGGAGCGAGGGGGGCACTCGAGAGGCTACTGAATAGTGGGCCTAGCGAGAGTGCACCTGCTGATCTAGTAAGTCAGTATAACCCCCTATGACCGAGAGCCGTCCGAAGCCCAACAATATCAGTAGACGGAAGTGGGAGAGAGGGGTGTGAAAGGGGACTAACCCTAAAGAAGCAGTGGAGGAAACATTATCTTAGCCCCGGGGGCGGGAAAATCTAC